TTATATTGTCTTTCTTTTCTATATTTGCTGGGACATTTCTCAGAAAATAATGGTAATATATTCCGAATCCTTTTGATTGTATTGCTAAAATCAGTCATATCACGATTTTATTTACATCAAAATATGAATGAAACTTGCCTGGTCCCCGAAAAATCTGTTTCCCAAACAGATCATTCGCTTTGTAGTTTCATATCTATCTATCTATGTGTTTCAGTCTGTTAATTATTTATCTATATATTTCAGTCTGTTCATTAGCTATTTATTTCATTCTCTTCATTGTCTGTCTATCGATCGATTTCAGTCTGTCCATTATCTATATATCTATCAACAAGGAAGTTGTAAAGAAAATGGCAACAGAAAGAACACATACACAGAATCAGGAAGCGAAAGCTGAAATACCTTGGACACAATGAAGAAAGAAAACTTAACACTCACAGGGCATATTGAAGGCGAGATAGGGGAAGGCAGCGAGCCGATTACTTGTGTGAATGAATGACGGAATGGTGGGCAGGAGACTTAGCAATGGAGAATAAACAGATATAGCTTTGAGAGAGGAAGTTGTGAAGAGCCATGATCGCCTATGTCCTGAAGGGACACGGAGCATGGAAGAATTAGTTGTATTAATAATAAGAATGTAATTTTGAGATGTGCTCGTGGAGTTACGGTTATCGGCGCAGAAAATGGAAAACGGCGAGTCGACTTTCAATTCCGGCTTTGGGCTTTGTTTGATACGTTCACTTTCGCACTAATGCCCTTCGAAAAGGGTTGAGTCCATCGCTTTCTCCTACTCCCCCTAGCTATAGGTTAAATTACAGAGTATACTGGCTTCCCAGTTTTTAGTAGCGAAAAGTCTAAGAGAATGAAAACACTGAATTCCAAACCGTGGAGTATGCAACGGGAAAACACACGAGAAATTGTGGAGAGCCATGATCGCCTATGTCTTAAAGGGACACAGCACATAGACGAAGAAGAATGTTTAAAATGTCTTCTTTGTTAATTTTATATCAATCCCTTTCAGAATTTAACTTAAAACATTATGTACCGCTCATCTTGAACACGAAAAGAGAAGTAACGCGTTTACTTTTTATGCATGTGTTCAAGCTTGATCATAATGCTTCTCAAACTGTTACCAATATTAACAAATCATGCGGAGAAGTATCTATTTGTGTTCGGGCATAACGGCACTGGTTTATGAAGTTCCGCAGTGGGGATATGTGTCTTGAAGATCAAGGTGGTAGAGGATATCCATCTACAATTGTCAATAAGTTTCTGAAAACACCAGTCGAGTAAAGCCCACGTCAGACTGTCAGAAAAAGCCACATATAATGGATATTAGCGTTTCACGATATCTGACAATCTCAAGAAAAAGTGGCAAAGTAAGGAAACTCGATAAATTTAATCAATAATTTTGGGAATATAACTTTGATATTCCCCGGCTAATAAGGAAAGAAAAATTTATTGTACACAAAAAATATATGTTTTTTATCAATTCACCCCAAGTATAGCGCTAATGCCACTAACACGCAATGGTCTACTGGAAGTGAAAGTGATTTTAAAAAGTTTAGAAGAAACTGGAAATCAAACCCCAAACAGAAAACAAGGCATAAACCCCCTTACTCCTGTTCAAGAAACCGGTGAGGAATGTGAACCGGGCGATAGACAAACCTATCTACTCCTACTGAGAAAAAATAAATAAATAGTAAGTAGAAGTATAGAGTTGAAGCAGAAGGAACCGGAAGTCCAATCCTAAACAGGAAACAAGGAGTAAAATTTTACTCCTGCTCAAAAGACCGGAGAGGATGTGAACCGGACAATAGACGAACCTATTTACTCCTATTGAGAAAAAACAAATAAATAGTAAATAAAATTTCAGAGTTTAAGCGGAGACGTTAGAAGTATAGAGTTGAAGCAAAAGGGACCGGAAACCCAATACTAAACAGGAAATAAGGCATAAACCCCTACTCCTGTTCAAGAAACCGGTGAGGAATGTGAACCGGGCAATAGACGAACCTATTTACTTCTATTGAGAAAAAATAGTAAATAAAATTTCAAAACTTAGATGGACAGGTTAGAAGTATAGAGTTGAAGTAAACTTTAGAAGGATCTTGAAACCCAATCCTAAACAGGAAGCAAGGGGTAAAACTTTACTAAACAGGAAACAAGATGTAGAACTCTACTCCTGTTCAAAAGACGAAGAAGTACACAAACATAATGTCTTTTCGTGTCAATGCACTTAATCTGATTCTTCTCCATTAACCACAAAAATCGAATATTACAGAGTTCAAATTTTGAATCAAAATTCAGCTAATCATTGTAACACACTATATATTTATTGATCTTTAACCAAATATTTTTATAGTGCATTTAATAAGACGATTTCCAAATTACTATAACCTCCATCTATAGCGATGAAAATAGTTGGAAAAGGTTAAGGAAACGGTGAGAAATGCCAAAACTTTGAGATTAGGAAAGAAAATAAATATCTTTGACCTTTTGGGTCTGGCTTTTTGGAATCTATTAGGTTGTTCAGAAAGAAATGTCAAGAATTTAAACCCAGACATTTCCAGGTGCTAATTCAATTTATTTGTGAAGAAGCGAAATTCTTCAAACAGCCCCGCTAGAAAAACAATACATGCGTATTTCTGGTATGCGAGTAAAATCCAAATTAGATTGGCTATCTTCGCCACAACTTCTAGGGGTTATGTCAAAATAATCATCGTTTTCTGGAGAAACAAAAACCTGATATGAAACTAATTCTTTTATGCTCTGTGTCTTTAAGAAAAAAATTTTTTAACGAAAAACGGAACCTTTTCCGTTAGGATCAACCAAAAGTTAACGTTCATAATTTAAAAATACGGAAGTCTAATAAGAAACAAAGTTATTGTTAACATCAGCATTAACATGAGAATTGAGTGAATCTATACTAAACGTACTGTGATATATATATATATATATATATATATATATATATATATATATATATATATATATATATATATATATGTGTGTGTGTGTGTGTGTGTGTGTGTGTGTGTGTTAAGAATTTGAGTAAGTGATCTCGACAGAGCTATACATTAAATGACAATTGAAAAAACGTTCATTAAATTATAATGTTTCGAAAAATATCTGATAATGCATTTCGCCCATTTTAGGCTTCATAAGATCGAAGACGAAATATATATATATATATATATATATATATATATATATATATATATATATAAATCCAGGATTTAAATGAGCAGGTTTGAATAGAGTCTGTCCCTTCTGGCATAAAAAGTGTTCCATACCACAAGAAAATGGCAGAGCTTTTGAATATTAATTCAAATAACCAGGTCGGCAATGACTGGCTACTACAATAACTTTCACACAATCACCAGTGACTTGTAATAAGATGAATACCCTATATACTACCGAGCGAGTTCAATTTGACAAGCAAACCAAACCCACGTGTGTATGTATTTGTGTATGTTTAAAATAATGAAAGTCTTATTAGATTTTTCTCAAGCTGGTGTTGCTCGTGACTAAAAAAAAGAGAAAGAAAATGAGTGACTTAGAAAAAAAAGTCGTTAAAATTTTATGTTCTTTGTTTTAAGTGTCAGAGTCGAGAGATAGAATCCTTCAAAATGGGTAGAAAATAAATGAAAGATTTGTTTATTTATCCATGCGTTCTCCGTGTCGATAGCAAAGTTATAAATTTGGATATATGATCCTGTCAGTCTTATAAATCATTGACATTTGGAAAAACGTTCATCAAAATATAAAGATTCGAAAAAACATCCGACTATGCAATTCGCCGATTAGGATAAACATGGACTCGAACAGCTATTATGTCAGTTCCGAATCGAAAGAAACTTGGAAATATTATAAAACTTGGGAAAGGTATGAATCCAACTCTTCTCTCGCCACTCCCAGTTATAGTACATTAACAGGGTCCTATAACCTTGGATGGCAACCAGTATAGGAGAAGGAAATTCTGATATTCAAACCGGATCACACTATCCTAAAAGTGTGTATACATACGACTGGAGATCGCTTGTAAATCCAAATTGTCATTGAAACTCATACTATGGATTTGCACGTCCGAATAAACACGACCTCTGCTACGTTTGGTCAGCTTACGATCGGATACGGTGAGTTCGTTTGGCGGATCTGACTCAAACGACCGGATGAATGCCGCAACAGGTCATTTCCGGAAGTATTTACCTGCAAATAAAACTGGAAGGGCAAGCCAAAGACAGTGTCTGTATGCATACTTTTTGAGGAGAAAAGATGCGAAAATTGTGACTTGGTGCAAAGAATGCACAACTCCATTGTGCAAGGAACGTCTCAGAGACTGTCATAATCTTTACAAAAATATTAAAATTGGAAACTTCATCTATTTCTGTTTTACTTTATTTTATATAATCTTAAAGAGTTCAACTATAACTTTATAATTCTTAGAAAGAGAAGATTCTTATAGAATTATAGCAACTGTATGTTGCACAAAATGTCTTTTTCCCTTTTTCAAATAATTTTGAATTACACTATGTTACAAATCTGTATTGCATTTTAACATTTGAACTACGAAATAATTTTTATATATTTTTTACGATATATATTTTTTTGTATATCAACAAATAGTATTTTGAAAAATAGTATGAAAAATTGGAAAAAACGTTTTTTTGGTGCGTTTCATCCGTTAAGATTTCATCAACAAAACCCAGTCCGATGAAATGCTTTTCCAAATTTTTACTATTTTTCTAGATATTTTTTTATATAATTAAAGCTAAATTAAGCATAAAACCTACCCTTTAAAAAAAAATTTCTCGTTTATTTATTATCCTTTTGGTCTGTATTTCCGTGCACCTTTATCCCGCCAGTTTAGAGTTTAAGTGAAACTGTTCTTCCAGTTGTGCGCATGCGTGTGATAGACAAAGAAACCATATTTGTTGTTAGCTTCTATTTTTTCTTCTTTTTTTTTTCTTTTCATAATTTTGACTGTCGTTTGTGTTTTTCAGACCGTGGAGCTTTGGACTGGTGCCTTGGAAAGTAAAGTATGGAGGACCAAAATGGAAAGAAAAAAAGAGCGGAGATGCTCGACCAAATTTCGAGCCACTGCTAGCTGAAGATTATTTTTTGTTGTTTTACTTTATTTTCTTTCTTTCTTTTCCTTTTTTTTTTTTCCAGAAAAAAAACACATTTGGTTTGGAATTTCAGTTCTATCAGAAGTGTGTTTGGTTAAAAAAAAAAAAGAAAAAAGTTATCCAGGAATGATTAATGGTTTCAAGGAAAAGATAAAAAGAAAACAAGCCAAAAGAAAAATTAATTTAAATGATAAGAGAAACACGATGAGAACCTGAATCCAGTTTTTATATTTTATTGATTAATAAAAACGATTCAAACAAAATAAACATCACTTTGACAAGCAATGATAAGCGTTGGTGTTGATCTTTTATTCACCTATCCAATATTTTATTTTTAAACTATTAGGTTGAGTCGTAAATAATATCAGTTTTTGTTTACCAAGTTTATTCTTCAAAATCCAAATTATAATTACATTTTTATTTAATTATATATCCACCATTATTTGCAATGACTTGTTTCCAGTGCCGATTTGAACTACCCCCGAACCCTCTGACGGTTGGGACGAGCAGAGCAAGTCTGATTGGGGGCCCCAGGCCGTAAATTGCAACACTCGTTATCTTATCAACATTTTCCTTTTTCTACCTACATTCATATACGTTACAAATTAAACTAAGCACAACTAACTATTAAAGGATGAAAAATTGTGGGCCGATTTTGACGTTATCCTGGGGTCTTTTTTTTTTTTTTTGTCCAAATCCGTGAATTTGTTTTGCTCGTGCTAAGCCTCGAAAAAACACTTGATAAAATTCACTATTTTTTATCCATAATGATGAATGTGTTAAAATTCTTAAACTTTTTAACAAGAAAAATCTCAAGTTGATGTTAAACACTGCCGCAAAACATTGTTGATTTATTTAAGATGGAATGATCTATTATATGTTTCTAATTTGTATTTCGATATGTGTTTTATATGAATACTACCTTATGAAAATTGAGATGTGGTAAATTGGGCGGGGGCTCATCATAGATTCAAAGGGGTATCATAGAATATGGTTAGGGAAAACCCGAAACCCTTGCACCAGCCCTATTTGTTTTCAATTATCACACAGTTCTTTAAAACCTTTTGAGTAAAATTCCGGTTTTGATGTGAATTTTTTTCTATAAACTCTTGAAGCTGGTTTTCATTACAGAAAGTTTTTCCCTGCCCAATCGTTTTTAGCGACCCCAAAAAGTAATAATCAGTTGGTGCAAGGTCAGGTGAATATGGCAGGCGGGGTAGAATAGATGAACCTAGTTCCAATTTTTTCCCCTGTTTTATTTTTGCTGCATACATCGTTGCGTTGTCATGTAGGGGACAACATTTTTATCTATTGATGAGCCCGTGGTACTTTTCGACGAAGCTTTTATAGACACGTTCCAGCTGCTGGACTTATAAATGTACCATTAATGTTTCATTAGCTTTTAAGAACTTTAAATGAATAATACCCCGACGATCCTACTACACGCACAACATTAACTTTCTTCCAAGGGAATCAGCTTTTGGCGCCGGTTGTGGAGAGAGATTTATCCTGGTCAATCCTCTGCCTTTTGCGTTGAGCATTGTTTTATGTAACCCACTTCTCATCCCCTGTTAAGACATAAGAACATAGGATGATACATTCGTCATTATAATTGATTCCCAAAATCGATAATTACTTATGACTCAACCTAATGTATGCCTTAAGAACGTTGGCGTTTTCACAGGGTTCTTTTTCTTTAATATCTTTAGTTCCACTTGTTCAGACCTTTACAGCTAGGATACGCCATGCTACGCTCACGGAATCAAATCATTCTGAGTTGCCCCGTATTCCACAGGTAAGTTTCTACTCAGACAGCTTTTTCCCAAGAATTTCTATTTTGTGGAAGAGACTCCCACGTAGATGCTTCTCTGAACACAGCATACTTAACCACTTCAAGTCAAGAGTCAATCGTTATCTATCCTCCCTGTTCTTATAACCATCACTTCCTATCACCTTATCTTTCTTTCATATCACACACCTCATTCATCAAAACCATTTTAATAGTAACGCTCTACTTTGAACGACTCTCGAGCCTTGTATCGGGTGAATATTAGTATTAAAAAATATCTGTAAATTGTGAATTGCTATGACAAGTTTTGGACGAGTGGACTTGTTTTTCCATCGCTCTGAATATAAGGTTGTCTGCAAATTAGAACGCTACCTTCGCCTAAGCTTCCCACCGACCTGCCAATGATTACCCCACGTTACATTTCGATTCTCGATTTCGTCAATGTACACCGTAAGCTGGGAAAGGGCCCGCTGTATGCTCATAAGACGAAAGGGATGAAAGGCAGATGCCACGTCTAGGAATAAGAACGCGAACGCTATTTCCCATATTATAAAACAGATGTTTTATTCAGGGTTTCACCTGCGGGTCTGAGTCGATAGGTAGGCGATACTTTGGAAAACTTCTGCTATGTTGGTCTAACAGCTCAGATCTTTTTCCCGACTTCCTTCTCATCTCACGGGGAGTGGACAATGCTAATGGACGACACAGGGACCACACGACAGACACACGTCTCCCAACAAGGGCGGACTAAAACTCTCCACCGACCCTAAGCATGACTGTTAATATAGATTAGCACCCAGAAATACACTATTTCCGTTTTTTCTTTTCCACTGTGTGGGTATGAAGGGAATAAGGGTGATTCACTATAATGTGCGTGGCATGTCGGGTCTTGGTCCTGAAGGTTAGGACTGGTGGAACTAAAGTGTAATTCAGCTGAACAATGGCTGTAAAAATAGCAATAGAGCAGCGAGAGTCTTGCGACATCTCGTCTGTGAGAAAGGGGTTGCAAAGTGTAAAATAATTCATCGCCTACAGGGACGTGGAGATATATAGCAGCAGTACTCCATTTTCGGCCTGATCTGGCTCTTGTAGATGATAGCAGGAGGAGTCGGGTACTTACTGGAGCGGTATAAGGAGCGACCATTTTCCCAACATATTTAGCGATAGACCGTATGTACGAGTTCCAATTGAGGCCTTGGTTGAGTTTAAGTCCCAATAGGCACTCAAGGCACGGAGCATCCCAGAGGGAACATCCGTTCATCACGATTGGTAAAAGTTCTGGGTCAGATCGTGGATGATGGAAGGTCACTAGTTTTGTCTTTGAGGCATTGAATGAGACCAGCCAGATTTTCCCCTACTGAGCTGCTAGAGTTAGATCAGAAGTGAGATCAGCTGCCAAGATCTGGTCATCGAAAACGGAAATGTGACCGAAATGTCCAAGGACGGTCCTAAAATACCGGTTAGCTTTATATTATGATGCTACACTTAGCAAAATATCTATCCGAGTGCGGGGTTAAGCAAGTTCATCTTGAGGCCTATTGTACCAAAATGTGTACAATATCTGGATACAGGAAACAGAAAACCTCCCTTTCGGTAACGTCATTTTTTTTTTTTTTTAGTGTATGTGTTCATCCCTTAACGATATTACTTAGAATTTCTCACTGAACGAAAAAAATTCAGATGGTCTTATTATGGCAAACATGGACCTTCGTGCTCGAAAAAAAAAGTGTGTCAAAAGGATGGATTTTCCCTTGACACCACTATTATTTTAACTACCTTCACTTCTGGGCAATGTCTGTTGTTTTTTTTTTTTAAATTAGAATTATAATAAAACCTAAACATATAAAACTGAATTTATACATTTTCTTTGTACATGAGAATTTTTTTTTTATTTAAGCGTTTCACCCCAAGCAAGGCGGGAAGCCACTAGGACGCAAGGGGTTACAGAAGAATTGAAGCAAGAGCAGATAGGAGTGATAAAGGAAAGGATGAGGAGAAGGATAGTGGATAGATCAAGGCAACTGGAGATGTCGATTGACATTACATTTGAATAGCTGGAGATTATAGCTCTCAGGGAAACAGGCGAGAGGTGTGAGATATGAAGCTATTGGAGTAGACGGTGAGAGCGGGATGCCAGCCTCGTAGGGCGCTTGAATTCATGAAGTCTGGGAACCAGCGAATGCAGCTCCTCGGAACAATTACCATGAAATTTACAACAAAAATATTAAACACTATTTATTTCTTGGATTGTTTATTTACACTATTTATTTATTATATTATTTATTGAAATGGTTGGCAAAACATCAGCTCATTGATTCAAACTTCCAGTTGATTCAAACTTTATAAAATGGTAAATAATAAAGATCTGGACAATAATAAGGTTTAGATATTTTAATAAATTAGTAAATGTTTATAAATTTGTGAATAAAAATTGTTTTCATATTTATTTCTTTATAAACTGGTAAACCATAAATATTGCTTTGTTTTAATATAAGTGTATTAGTTTTTAGAGTGTTGCAAATATAAATTATTCTTGTAAATAAACAGTCTAATAAATAGTGATTAATATTTCGTTGCAAATTCTCAAGAACAAAAAATATGTATAAATTCACTTTCATCGTGTGCTTAGGTTTTATTTCAATTCTAATCACCGCTTTTTAAAACTATAAACATTGCCGAGGAGTGAAGATAGTTAAAATAATAAGCGGTGTCAAGGGAAAAACGTCCTTTTGTGTTGTAGAGTAGTTTTCACAGTGGAGGCTTGTATTTCGCTAAGTCGGTCCTAAAAAAGTCCGACGTACAAAACGTTAGGAACTTACAATAAGAGTTAATGACGCAGCAATCTAGTTGTGATGGTTGATACTTCAATGTCCGACACCGACTGACTCACTCAACACCACTGAGCTCCACTGGCGACCGCTACTACTACTACTACTTATTATGTGTGGGAGAGTCTATTAATTATAGAATAGGTACGTTCAAGTATGACATTTTGACAATCCGTTTCTTTTTCGGGCACGAAGTTCCAAGTTTACCGATAGCTTTTTTAATAATTTTTCACTCAATCCAAGAGTCACCCAAGGTAGAGGGTTACTGAATACTATTAGCATAAAAGGAGGA